GTAACCATTTATTACGCTCATGCTTATTTCTGTGTTAGAGCTTAGACCCATTGAAGGAAGGACTTTCTTGCATTTAATCTTTCATCAAAGGTTACTGAGCATCATGATATGCCAAGAACTAGGAGCTGGGAATTAACTGGCCCCAGCAGGATAGAAGCCAGTAACTTTTTTTTTTTTTTAGCACTACATGTTTTCATACTGGTATCTCACTTCCTTAAACTCCTACTTCCATCTTTATTTTTGTTTTTATTTTTTTAATAATTTACTGTTGTTGTTTAAATCTTTGGAATATTTTCAAACATCTTTGGTGATCTCTTTTACGTATATCCACTGGTTATCCTGTGCATGCCTCTTTTTGTTACTCCAACATGATAAGGTATCAACATTTTTTTAATCAATCTTATCAGGCTTTGACTTTTTCTCCTGTATTTTCCCAGGGATTCTGTTTATTCCCTTTGTTTCTGAGTTGGTGGTAGAAACTGAATATCTTAAGAGAGTTCTTATTATGTTTATTTAGACAAATGGTTACATCATTCATGTTTCTTCTCCTGGTAAATGGGGGTTGTGAGTACCCAAATCTATTGGGTAGATTATGTCTGTAATTTCAGCACTTGGCACCTAGAATTCCTCATTTGCCACTTGGGAATAATGCTAATGGCTTTACTTGTCTGTATGGTGGTGAAAGTGAAAGTCGCTCAGTCGTGTCCAACTCTTTGTGACCCCATGGACTATACAGTCCATGGAATTCTCTAGGCCAGAATACTGGAGTGAGTAGCCTTTCCCTTCTCCAGGGGGTCTTCCCAACCCAGGGATCGAACCCAGGTCTCCTGCACTGTGGGCAGATTCTTTTTCAGCTGAGTCACAGGGGAAACCCAAGAATACTGGAGTGGGTAGCCTATCCCTTCTCTAGCAGATCTTCCTGACCCAGGAATTGAACCAGGATCTCCTGCATTGCAGGCAGATTCTTCATGAACTGAGCTATCAGGGAAGCCTGTATGGTGGGAGTGAAAAGCAAATTAAAGAATAGAAACAATAGATAGGTATTTCTCCAAAAAAAGATATGCAGAAGGCCAATGTGCATATGAGAAGATGTTCAAAATTCCTAATTATTAGACAAATGCAAATCAAAACTGCAATGAGGTACCACTTTATATCAGACAGAACAACTATCATTAAAAAGTCTACAAGTAATAAATACTGAAGAGGGTGTGGAGAAAAGGGAACTCTCCTACACTGTTGATGGGAATGTAAATTGGTGCAGTGACTATGGAAAATAGTATAGAGGTTCCTTAGAAAGCTAAGAGTAAAGTTGCCATGTGACCCACCAATCCCATTCCTGGGCATATATTCAGATAAAGCTGTAATTAAAAAAGATACACACACCCTTATGTTCATAGAAGCACAATTCACAATAGCTAACTCATGGAAGTAACCTAAATGTCCATCACAGATAAATGGATAAAGTGCCTGAAGAACGGTAGACAAAGGTTCCTAACATTGTACAGGAGGCAGTGACCAAAATTATACCCAAGAAAAAGAAATGCAAAAAGGCAAAATGGTTGTCTGAGGAGGACTTACAAATAGCTGAGAAGTGAAGTGAAAGAAGTGAAGTGAAGAGAAGTGAAAGACAAAGGGGAAAAGGAGAGATATACCCATTTGAATGCAGAGTTTCAAAGAATAGCAAGGAGAGATAAGAAAGCATTCCCCAGTGATCAGTGCAAAGAAATAGAGGAAAACAATAGAATGGGAGAGACTATAGAGCTCTTCAAGAAAATTACAGATATCAAGGGAACATTTCACGCAATGATGGGGGCAATAAAGGACAGAAATGGTATGGACCTAACAGAAGCAGAAGATATTAAGACGAGGTGGTAAGAATACATAGAAGAACTGTACAAAAAACATCTTCATGTCCCAGATGATCCCAGTGGTGCGTTCACGCACCTAGAGCCAGGCATTCTGGAATGTGAAGTCAAGTGGGTCTTAGGAAGCGTCATTACAAAGCTAGTGGAGGTGATGGAATTCTAGCTGAACTATTTCAAATCCTAAAAGATGATGCTGTGAAAGTGCTGCACTCAATATGCCAGCACATTTGGAAAACTCAGCAGGGGCCGCAGGACTGGAAAAGGTCAGTTTTCATTCCAATCCCAAAGAAAGGCAATGCCAAAGAATGTTCAAAATACCACACAATTGCACTCATCTCACATGCTAGAAAATATTCCTCAAAATTCTCCAAGCCAGGCTTCAACAATATGTGAACCATGAACTTCCAGATGTTCAAGCTGGATTTAGAAAAGGCAGAGGAACCAGAGATCAAATTACCAACATCCGTTGGATCATAGAGAAAGCAAGAGAGTTCCAGAAAAACATTTAATTCTGCCTTATTGACTCTGCCAAAGCCTCTGACTGTGTGGATCACAACTAAACTGTGGAAAATTCTTCAAGAGATGGGAATACCAGACCACCTGACCTGCCTCCTGAGAAATCTGTGTGCAGGTCAGGAAGCAACAGTTAGAACTGGATATGGAACAACAGACTGGTTCCAAATAGGAAAAGGAGTGTGTTAAGGCTGTATATTATCACCTTGTTTATTTAANCTGATCCTGGGAAGGATTGGGGGCAGGAGGAGAAGGGGTCGACAGAGGATGAGGTGGTCGAATGGCATCACTGACTCAATGATCATGAGTTTGAGCAAGCTCTGGGAGATAGTGAAGGACAGGGAAGCCTGGCGTGCTGCAGTCCATTGGGTAGCAAAGAGTCGGACATGACTCAGTGACAGAACAGTAACACACACACACACACACACACACACACACACACAGTGAAATCCTACTTAACCATAAAAAAGATTGAAATCATGCCATTTGCAACAGCATTGATGACATAGAGATTATCATACTAAGTGAAGTAAGTCAGACAAAGGCCACCTGGTATCACTTATATGTGAAATAATATGACACCGATGAACTTATCTATGAAACAGAAAGAGACCCCCTAACACAGAGAACAGACTGGGGGTGGTCAGGTCATGGGGGCGGGGACCGGGAGCAGGGAAGGACTGGGAGTTTGGGATTAACAAATGCAATCTGTTGTATACATGGTGGATAAACAAGAAGATTTCACTGTATTAGCATGGGGAGCGATATTCTATATCCTGTGATAAATCAAAATGAAAAAGAATATGAGAAAGAATATGCATATGTGTAACTGAGTCACTTTGCTACACAGCAGAAATTAGCACGACGTTGTAAAACAGCCATATGGACGTGCTAAGTCCCTTCAACAGTGTCAGACTTTGCAACCCTATAGTCTACAGCCCGCCAGATTCCTCTGCCCCTGGGATCCCCCGGGCAAGAATACTAGAGCAGGTTGTCACGCCCTCCTCCAGGGGATCTTCCCAACCCAGGGATCAAACCCGCATCGACTAGGGCTCCTGCATTGCAGGCAGATTTTTGACCGCTGAACCATCGGGGAAGCACACGTATGAGTGAATAGCTTTGCTGTACAGTAGAAACAACCATATTTCAATAAGATTTAAAAAAAGAAATAAATTTAGAAAATGTTTTAACAGTATCTGTAATGGGAATGAGGTCAGGTTTAATAAGAAGCAAAGGTAGCTAGACCCCTGGAGGAAAGAAATTGGCTAAGACCCAAGAAATTCTAGGTACCAAAAGGAAGTTGCATTGGTCTAAAGATTTTTGAAAAGTAAGGGTTTTGTTTAACATTTTGTTTAATATAATGACTCCCTATCTTTTTCATCTTTCCCAACCTTCCCCCGCTACTTCTTGAATCTAAATCAAGGTTGAACACAAAAGCTTGTATATGATGCAAAATTGCTGTCGTAGTAACTAACTATAAAATGTTTCATGCACTTCATTTCTGTAAGTGCAATGTGCTTTGTTTCACTTTTATTTTACTCTATTAGGTATGCAGCCCATTTGCCAGGGTGAGTTATCTCCTCTTAGAGTTTGGTTATATACCTAGTCTATTTTGTAAACAAAATTTCCATTAAAAATGAATTACTTTTTCTTAGAGCTTATTGATGGGGCTGACACATTGCTAAATTTCTTTTCTGAGCCAAGATTTGTCACCTTGATCAAAAGTTGGCAAAACGCGATTTGTGATCATTCGAAAGGTACAAGGGGCGTGTGTCCTTCAAAATGTTTTCTTTGCCTTGATTTTTGTCTTTAAAGCAATTAACCAGCAGGAACAAAGAAACAGCCACTCTGCACTCTGATTCCCCATATAGTCTTGGCATTCACCAGAAACACTTTTCTTCATTTAGAAAGAAGTGTTCTTCTGACAGACAGTCTGGAACACAGTGCACATGCACACATACAATGAGTCAAGAGTTGCATTGCGGAAACACGAGACCCCAGACAGTAAGCTAAAGATGTGACATCCGATGCTTGGCAGAGAGATTACATCGTAAATCTTCCAAAACCCAGCCCATGACACCAACAGTCAGGCATCGCTGCTATTAGTAGTCACTCCCCAATATTTCCAGAAGAGGAGGAAAGAGAAAAGCATTGGTTTGATGAGATCATCTGCTTCTTTCAATTTGCCAATGAGAAGTTGTTAAAGAGGTTTTCTTTTTTTGATTATGAAATTGACACATGCTCATTATAAGAAAGAAAAAAAATCAGAAAATATAGAAAATTAGCTGTGAGGATAGATTTGGAAACAATCTAGGATGCTAGCCCAACCAACTCTGGTTGGTTGTTTTAATTTCTGAATTTAGGTATAGATTGTGGGTTCAAAGTATTTTAATTATTTGGAGCGTACAGGGAGAGTAAGATCAGGTAATTTCTATAACCCTTGAGGAAACAAAGGGATTTCTTGGTGGTGTATTTGTCCTATTGTTCTGAACTAATTAGCATTTTACAATATTCTAAGCTTCATTTTTCATCAAATTCCCCACACAAACCCACCTCCCCTCAGTTGCTCAAAATGGGACCGACGTGAGAAGAGAGAGGCCCCGTAAGATAAGCACAGAAGAAAGCCAGCGCTCAGGATGCATCTGGAAGGTTTGTTTTCAGAAAAGTGAGTGAGGTCAAGAACAGCGGGGCTTGGGCTGAACGCGGTGATTTGCAGGAGAGAAGAAAACCTTTTTATGTTTAACATTGAGCATCTGCAAATGATGAGTACTTTTCTGGAACAGCATAAAGCTGTGTGAAGTGGAGGGCAGGTCTATAAAAAAGAGCCTCGTGGGAAACAAGAAAAGAAAGTCATCTTTGTAAATATGCTCCTCGTAAAAAGAGGACTGAGTACACGATAATGATGATTCATCAATGGGTGAGAGAAGCTCATGGCCCAACCCATGGCTGGAGCCTCCCCCCATGGCATCCCTCCTTGCCTGCCCGCACACCCACCCCCAGGAGGCAGGAGGGGAGAACAGGGTGGGAAAGACCATGCACAGCTCGCAGGGAACCCATCACCAAACAAGGTGAGGCTTAAAGAGAGAAGTCCTGAGACACCACTGCGTGAACAAAAGAGCTAAGAACCAAAGAGGCTAGAAGTGTGCTCAGGCTCTGCCTGGACGCTTTCCAGGGCTTGGGGGAAAGTGGATTTCTATCTTCATTTGCACGCATTTCTCTCTGCGGGTTACTAAGTTTCACAAAGTGTTCTTTGATCCTGGTTGGTTGTGTTATTATTGAAGATGGGTTTACTCTTAAAGCAACAGTACCAAGGTGATAGTAGTAATAATAATAGCAATCAGAGCAGCTAGTAATATTACTGACATTAGAGAGGGATGTCCCAGACATCCAGTGTTCTGCAAGGGTTTCTCCATTTCACCCTAACCCATCGCAGTGAGGTAGGTGCTACTGTTACTGATTTTGCTGGTGAGGAGACTGGAGCCTGAAGAGGCCCCCTAACCAGCCCGATGGCATTGGAAAGATGTGGCAAATCCATGGAACTGAATTCCAGCGATTGGACTCCAGATCCTGGGCCCACTGCCTACCTGGGAGATAACCAGTGCATACTTACTGTGAGTCTCCTACGCTCCCTGATAGCGCCAAGGGTTCCGTGTGCATCCTCTCACTTAAGCTGCAGAGCGGATGAGCTGAGGAGCCACATGGCGCCCGCGTTCCTGGGGCAGGACTGAGGCTTCCACAGTTTCAGAGACTCGCCTGTGTCAGGGGAGCAAGCAGGCTCTTCTCCTGCTGCCGTGGGGCCCCAGGAGCCCCAGCATCAGCACCCTGAATCCTTGTTCTATGTCATCGTCTTAACGGTCTTCTTATTTGTCTGTTGGGAAGTCTCCTGGCAAAGATAAAAATTTCCTTCATTTTTCTTGTTTTTTTTTTTTAAAAACAAAACCATGACTCTATCATGCCACTTATTTTCATTCAAAAAAATGTACCTCTTTTGGGTCGCAAGAGGAAAAGATTTGTTGGGTGATAGGCTTATTAAAAACCCTCATACTTAAAAAAAATGGGGTATAGTTGCTTTATAATATATAATTAGTTTCTGCTACACAGTGAAGTGATCCAGCTGTATGTATCCATGTTACCCTTCCCTCTTGGACCTCCCTTCAACCTGCCCCCCATCCCCTGATGTGGGTCATCACAGAGCATGGAGCCGAGCTCCCTGTGATATACAGCGCTTCCCACCAGCTGTCTACTTTGCACAAGGCAGCGTATGTGCTTCAGTCCAATCTCTCAGGTCGCCCCACTCCCCTTCCCCACCGCTGTATCCACACATCCGTCTCTTTTCCTGCCCTGCAGATAGGTTCATCTGTACCACTTTGCTAGCTTCCACATAAATGTGCTAATACGTGATATTTGAACTGCCACCCCCCCCCTCCCTTGAGGAGATGGGGGCCCTTGAACACTCTCACGCCACTCCTGTGTGCAGAGACTGCGAGCATACTAAATTTTGCTATTTGGTACTTGACAGTGACCACTGCTTAATGCTTTTTAGGCGTGTTAGAACACCCGCAGTGCCTCTAAATTGTCTGGGAGTACTCCTTGGGGAGAAATGTCTTTCTGACCCCAGCCTGCAATCAATTAACACCATGAAGCATGGGAATTTATAGCCCTTACTTTTTATTTTCTCAGCCAGGGAGAATCTGGAAGACACAAATGTTGTAATGGAGTCAAGCGATGTGATTTGATCTGTTGGTCCACAGATCTCTCCCTGACCCAGGATGTAAGGTCATCACCAGGCGACGCTGTTTCAGCCATCCCCCAAAACCCTCTAGGTGAGTGCGGTGAGGCTTTGCTGTTGTTGTTTTTGTGTTTTTCTTTTTAAAACAAACTTCCAGCGTCTAACTTTTTAATTCTTGCCATCACACCAGCTGGCTCGTAATTAACCGCTGGCATCATCAATATCTCGTCAAAGTTAATGAGTTTTTAACATAATTTTTAACTGCTCTGAAGAGGTTACAGAATTAAAAGAACAAGAATAATGTATATATTTATTCACAGGCAAACAGAAGGATGAAAGATACAAACCCCGCTCTCAGGCCACTGGGCAAGGAACTGGAGACAGCTTCCCACCTTCCCAGTGAAGCTGGTGGTCAAGGGCGAAGCGGTTTACATGCCTGGGTGGCCTCCTCACACTATTTGTACTCGCAGTGGAACTGACATTTACCTGTATTTGGAACTGCTTAAGCTGAACAGCAATTCAGATGCAAAGATAAATGCTTAGGATTGATTCCCATCCCCCTCCCATCTTTGGCCCTCAGACTCAGAGATTTCACTTCGTCAGGGTTCCATTGCTCAGCCCACTACTGCCAGCCCTGGAGCCAGGGCCATCCCTTCCCTCCATCCGTCCATCTCCCACTTCCCCTCCCCTCCTCCTGCCTTCTCACCTCCTCCCTCCCTTCTTTCCTTCCTTTTTATCCCTATTCCCCTCCCCGCCCTGTGTCCCTAGTCCACCCATGATCAACCCTTTCTCAATGAATTGATGTGTATCTTTTCAATTGCATATGTTCTTACATAATGTGTGTTGTTGTTTTTGAACAAATGTTTTTAATTTGCACAAATAGGACATGGGTTTTTAATTTACACAATAGTATTGTGTTGTAGGCGTTTCCCTGGTGGCTCAGACGGTAAAGAATCCGCCTGCAATGCAGGAGACTTGGGTTCGATCCCTGGGTTGGGAAGATGCCCTGGAGGAGGGCATGGCAACCGCCTCCAGCACTCTTGCCTGGAGACTCCCCACGGACAGAGGAGCCTGGCAGCTATAGTCCCTGGGGTCGCAAAGAGTCGGACGTGCCTGAGCAACTAAGTGGCAGCATATTGTGTTATAGACCTTGTTTCCTTTTTCACTGTTTCCGTCTTTCCATGTGGCTTTGCACGTGTCTGCCTGCTCATCCTGACGGCTGCATAGTATTCCACGCTGAACACACGCGTCTCCTGGTGCTGGACCCAGAATGGCTTCCAGTTTCTCACCACCACCATCAGTCATGCCGTCATCAGCATTTTCATGCAGACTCCCTTATTGACCTGGGGCATTCCCAGGAACTGGAATGCTGAGTCCTAGCGCATGACTGGACTTCATTTGACTACACAGCTATGTGGCTCTCTGATGAGCTGCAGACTCTGCCTGGGGATTCCTGTAACCACGTTACCCAAATTTGTCATTATCCTGGTGTTTATTTACTGATTTATATTGAAGTATAGTTGCCTTACAGTGTTGTGTTAGTTGCAGTGGCCAACACAGTTATTCAGTTTTTTATATATAAGTAATCAAGGAAATATATATGTATGTGCATTTTCTTGATTATTCTCCTTTACAGGTTATTACAAGATATTGAATATAGTTACCTGTGCGATACAGTGGGTTCTTGTTGATTATTTTATACTATATAAAGTGGTGTGTATATGTTAATTCTAAAGTCTTAATTTACCCCTCCCCTCTCCCTTTGGTTGGAGAAGGAAATGGCAACCCACTCCAATATTCTTGCCTGGAGAATCCCATGGACGGAGGAGCCTGGTGGGCTGCAGTCCACAGGATCACAAAGAGTCAGACACAACTGAGAGACTTCACTTTAACTTTCTCCCTTTGGTAACCATAAGTTTGCTCTTTATGTCTTTGAATCTATTTTTGTTTTGTAAATAAGTTCATTTGTATCATTTTTTAAGATTGCACATAATAAATGATATCATGATATTTGTTTTTGACTTCACTTAGTATGACACTCTCTAGTTCCATCCATGTTGCTACAAGTGGCGTTATTTCATTTTTTATGGCTGACTAATATTCCATTGTATATATGTACCACATTTTGTTTATCCATTCATCTGTCAGTGGGTGTTTAGTTTGCTTCCATGTCTTGACTATTGTAAATGGTGCTGCTCTGAACATTGGGGATGCATGTATCTTTTCAAATTAGAATTTTTGTATTTTCTGAATGTGTGCTTAGGAGTGAGATTGCAGAATCATACGGTAGCTCTATTCTTAGTTTTTTGAGAGACCTCCATGCTGTTCATGGTTGCTGCACCAACTTACGTTCCCTCCTGGTGTTTAATTTCTACCAATCAAATGGTATAAAGTGACATAGTTGTAATTTGCCTTTCTCTTGCTATTAATTAGTTTGAACTCTTTATGTGTTTCTTAGAATTGTGTTTTCATTGTTAGTGATTGCTTATTTATAGCTTTTACCCATATTTTCTATTGAGGTTCATAAAGTTTTCTTGTTGACTTGTATGAGCATTTGCTTGTCCTCTTTCTCTTTCTTGCTTAAATGTGTTCTACATACTAGTTGCTTGACAGTTTTGGACACGGCACTATCTTCTCGCAGTGTCACACGTCTGCTAACTTTGTCTTCCAATTCCTTCCTTGCACTGATTGCTTTAATTTTTGTGGAATTTAATTTTGTCTTATTAGTTTGTGCTTTGGGGATTTTGTTTAAGAGATTCTTCCTCACCATTAACTCTTAAAGATGCTCTGACATTTTAAAATCTGTTCCTTCTACCATTTATTCAGCTTACATGTGGTGTGAGGTAAGGATCCAGTTTTATTTTGCTGCATATAGTCAACCAGTTTCCCAACTTCATGTATTATAAAGTCTAACCCCCTGGATTTGGGTTGTACAAACACATTTCCTTTTCTATATGAGTCTCACTCTGAGCTATCCATTCTCTTCCATAGGCTAACTTGTTTGTTCTTCTACCACTTTCATGTTACTTTCCATTACTGTGCTTCTATTATATATCTTAATATTTGGGAGGGTAGCACCCTCCTCATATTTTCTCTTCAATTTCAGGGTTGACTTAGCTATTCATGAGTTTTGTCATATAAATTTAAAAATAATAACTGAAAGTGCATTTAGGAAGAAAGGAACTCTTTTTGAAGTAAACCTCCTATTCAAGAGGATGAATGTTCTCTTGTTTCACTTTGATCTTTTTGGAACTTTAATGTAATTACATACGCTCACGGTAGATGTCTCATGTATTAATTTTTAGTGTAATTTCTGACCCTTGTCTTTCCGTGAACCTTTCATGTCTTCCCCTACAGCATAAGCTTGGTCCATTGGAATGAGGACAGGCCATGTGGTTTTGTTCCAGCTAGTTGTTTCCCAAAGCAGTTTCCAGTCTGATGGTGAACTGGCTGGGAAAACTCATCTGGGTGCTTTGTCAAAAATTAAAATTACTGGAATCCAACCCTGCAGAGATTTGGATTTGATTGGTTTGAGTGGACTTGGGAACATGGATTTTTCTAGTTCTCAGATGATTCTGATGGGCAGCCATATTTGGGAACCATTATTCATTGCACTAAAAGATGATTTTAAGTTTTTCAATGATTTTTCCTTCTTCTTTTCCATTTGAGAGAGTATCCTGAGAAAAAATAATTCTGAGATAAGGAATTATGAACCAACACTGGTAATTAGAAATATAGATCCTCATAAATTTATTGTACATTTTTTACCTTTACATCTTAGGTCAAAGCTATGCTAGATACTCTCTGAATATTTTTAAAAGCAAATTAATTCAAATAGTTTAGGATAACTCCAAAATACACTATTTTTTTTCAAGGCACATAAACAAAATAGGGCCATTATAACTGCCATGATAACTTCTAGATCGCTAGCAAATTGAAGTCTATATCTGTTGTGAGATGAAAATCTTGCTTTCTATGAAATCTACCAGACTAGTACAAAGAGCATTTTAAGTCCTATTGGGTGAAGTTTATAGAAATGAATTTCATCAATGACAAATCAACAAGGATAAGGCTGTCATATCTTTGAAGAACAAGTGGGCAACAGTGAAGATGGATGGTCAGGTGGAAGTGTATAATTATCTATTCTAGCTATCCTAGAACTGTAATAAATGAGCTCTTAAATGCCATTTAGGAAAAGGTGGATCAATTGCTTAGCTACTTGTTCCCCAGATCTATCATATTTTATAGGGGCATATTGAAGACTTCGCTGATGCAACAGAAGTCTGTTTCATGCTGGAATTTAAGGCAGTAAGTCTTCAAGGGCCTGCAACAGTAGACAGAGCATCTGAAATTCGTGTCATAATGGAGATTACACTGGGCTATGTTCTCGTGGTCCTAAAGGCATTTATGAGCTTGCCTTCAAATGTTTGGAGGATTGTTTATGTCTCCCAACAACAACTGAAGCTTGGAGGGTAGAACCAAAACAAAGTCCAGGACTCTCTCTCTCTCTCTCTCTCTCTCTCTCTATATATATATATATATATATATATATATATAATGAGCATCCTTTAATTCAGTGACAGTCCTCTCATGGTTAAGGCACTGTGATGGCTTCATTTTCATTGCTTGGGATGAAACCTTACTTTATAGTTGTTGTATAACCTCCTCAGATTTATTCAGCCTGGTCAGATTCACATTTGTGGCTGAAAGTCACAGTTGATGGGCTTGCTGGAAGTGGAAAGCGATCACATAGGAAAATTTCAAACTAAACTTTTGTTGAGAACTTTTTAAGACAAAAAGTAGTGTACTAATAATTCTGGAGAAGAGGGGTCAAGTGTCTTTTAAAGAATCTTGTAAGACTCATTGTTCAGCCCGTACCTGCCCAAGAATACAGTGGCAGAAGATATATATATATGTATATCTCAGCAATGTGACATATGTGTGTGTGTGTGTGTGTGTGTGTGAGCAATGCCTGAGGCTTCTGTAGTGTTTACCATTTCCAAGTTTTGAGCCACTTGTGAGCCATTATCATCAATATCTAACATTTCTTTTCTATTTATGAATTGCAAAGTGTGCCTTAAAAATAATTTTCACAATTCAGTCTTCTTATAACTCTGTGAAGTATGTATTATTAACCCCATTTTACAGAGGGGAGGATTTAACCAAGGAGCCAGTGAATCAATCTTTAACTCAGGTTTGCTGACTCTAAATTTCCTCAAAACCCTTAGCCTGACTGATAAAATGCTTTCCCCTCCATTGGTACGTCCGTATTTCACATTTAGGAAGCAGAGAGAAGGGCTCAGCAAACTTTCTCTAGAGGGCCAGACAGCAAGCATTGCAGGCTTTGTGGGCCATAGGGATGCAACTCTCTGACCGCTCCTTGTTTCTGCCTTTTGACTTTTGCAGTGTGAAAGCAGCTCAGTCAGTTTTTCATGGGTGTATCTGTTCTGATAAAACTTGAATTTTGCAAAGCCAGGCTGGCCAGACTCAGCCCAGGGGCTGGAGTTTGTTGAAACCAAGTACAGAGTAATGGACCTTCAAAGAGAGAAAGTACTGATGTGTGGGACTCAGCAGTGTTTTAGAATCCTAACTGCACACATCACTCACTGGGGTTGTTGACCTGATTTCAGGGAAGGGCTACACTCCACACAAAGAGCTGGACACGACTGAGTGACTTCACTTTCACTTTCTCACAGCGCTGAGAGAAGATGATGAGTGAGGATGCAAATGAGCATGCTGCTGGAGAGTTGGGCCCTCCAGCAAGACAGGCCGGAAGACCCCCACGGAAGGCGTCAGTAGGTGGAGGAACGGGCACAGCAGAGGAGGCCAAGAGAAATTTCAGAAAGAAAAGCCCACAGTAAGAGAGGAGATGGAAGTCTGAGCTGAGGAAAACGCAACAGCTGCTGGGAGAAGAGAGAAGAAAGTTTTGGTGTGACAGCCGGGGAGCTGAATGGTCCAGTGTGGAGTGTAGCCCTGCGTGTCTCCAGGCTCCTCCGTCCATGGGATTCTCCAGGCAAAAACACTGGAGTGGGTTGCCTTTCCCTCCTCCAGGGGATCTTCCCCACCCAGGGATCAAACCCAGGTCTCCCGCATTGCAGGCAGGCGCTTTACCCTCTGAGCCACCAAGGAAGCCCAAAGCACTATGAAGGAATCTGGAAATTGATGTTCCTTTGCAGCTGAAAAAAAAAAGGGTGATTATTAATACGAATCAAGGTTTTCCCTGCTTAATACAGGTAAAGCCACCCTCGAGCTTGGCGCAGAGCAAATGCCTAGAGAATGACTGTCACCTTTACACTGGGAGCCTGGTAAGGACTGGTGGAGGCTGTCGAGAGCTCTGCAAATGGAAGCTCTTGGCCAGTCCTGTGGCAGGAAGAGGGACCCCTTCCAGGGCCCGGAGCGGGCTCTCGTCTAAGCTCAGAAATGAATTATCCGAGGAGACATGTGTGCTCATAAAGCAGGAGACGTCATTGGGCAGACACGCCCGGGCGGGAGCAGCGGGGTGAGGGAACCCCGGAGGACTGCTCTGCATGTAGCTCGTGGTCTCGGGTTTATGGTGAGGGGATTCGTTTCCGGGGTGTCTCTGGTCAGTCGTTCTGACTCAGGGTCCCTCCTGGTGGCATCACTCAGACAAGATGGATTCCAGCGCGGAGGATTCTGGGAGGACGTATGGACTGGCGTCTCCTCTCTCCTTCTGACCTTTCCTGAGTTCTTCCGGTTGATGGTGACTCGTTAGTTCCGTGTTCCTTACCAGGACCTCCTGTTGTAAAACAACTTGTGCTGATGGTCACAGTGAGTGGTTTCAGTCGGTGTTTCTCCTAAAAGTGTTATGGTGATTAAGATGGCAGAAGTCTTCACACAGCCTGGAAAGCTCAGAAGCCTTGGGTTTAGGACCTAATGGGGGTGATGCTTTCATGGTTACTCAGGGGGTTCTGAGTATAAACTACTTTTAGACTAGACTAGTTTCCCTGTGGAAAAGATTTGCTTGTTGCATTAATTCAAACACTTTGGAATTTTTGCTTAAAGACTTTGTGGCTTAAAGAAAAGAGTCTTCTTCAACTTGATAGCAGATCTTATTCTATACGACCTGATTCCGGGAGCTCCATGCTTGCGAACCTGCAGAATAAAGAATGTCAACTATGTTTCCATCCAGCCAGTCACTTGCAGAGCAAGACTTTGTGAATTGCACTGAAAAACCTGATGTTAAAATTTTATCCTATTTATTTTATAGACTTAAAATAACAATATCACAATATTTTAAAACAATTTGTCTTGTGCAATGAATACCACAATGTAAGTCACTTTAGCATATTGTTCAATCTTTTCAAAGCATTCCCTCATTCTGGCACTCATTCACTCCAGCAAATGCTTTTCAACAGCTTGTTAGGTGGTATTGTTGTTCAGTCACTGAGTTGTGTCCAAATCTTCATGACCCCATGGGTGGCAACACATCAGGCTTCCCTGTCCCTCACTATCTCCTGGAGTTTGCCTAAGTTCATGTCCATTGCCCTGGTGATGCCATCCAACCATCTCATCCTCTGACATCCCCTTCTCCTCCTGCCCTCAATCTTTCCCAGCATCAGGGTCTTCTCCAATGAGTCCACTCTTTGCATCAGGTGGCCAAAGTATTGGAGCTTCACCTTCAGCATCAGTCCTTCCAGTGAATATTCAGGGTTGATTTCCTTTAGGACTGACTGGTTTGATCTCCTTGCNTTTTGGAGCCCAAAAAGAGGAAATCTGTTACTGCTTTCACCTTTTCCCCTTTTACTTGCCATAAAGTGATGGGGCCGGATGCCATGATCTTAGTTTTTTAATATTTAGTTTTAATTTGACTTTTTCAAGTGCCAAATAGTAATTTTACTCTCTTAAGAAGTACAATCCACTGAGAGAGACATCATGCTACAAAGGTCCTCAGTAGAAGCGCTTATAAGACAACCTTACAAGATAGAGTGTTTCTGTGACTGTGAGGGTGTTGGATCTTCATGGAGGGTGTCATTATTTCAAAACAATTTTGAGGTGGTTTACAGAGTATATCTAATAAGACAGAAACTAAGTAGTGAAGAAATTTGGACTAAGAAAAAAAATAAGAGTAAGAAAAGTCCATTGAACTATATGTAAATTTAGTGAACAAAACACGTCTCATAAAATATACACTTATTGGAAATGAGTTATAAATTTGGCTTTAAGCTTCCCACCAGTCCAAGCAAAGAGGAAACCATGATCCTTTCCATGGTTAGAGGGTCCAGAAGACAAACAGATGAACTGTATTTCTAGTGAACATTTCTGAGAGAAATGTATCTTGTGGGTTTTCGTAATTGACACCTAGTCCTCACTGTCCCTATGTAACTCCCCAAATAAGTCTCCTTTAAGGTGTTTCTTTTTTTAAAAAAATCTTAGTTCCCTGACCAAGGATCGAACACAGGCCCCTGCTGTGGAAGCTTGGAGTCCTAATCACTGGATTGCCAGGGAAGTCTGTAGAGTGTTTCTCATACCTTTCTTCAAATGACAAAGCAGAGGTCACCAGAGACACTTGAAATCATGCCAGAACTGTGTCTCCTGAATAATTCTCACCTTCTGCTTACTCCATATATCAGGTGCATAGCATCTAGAGGAATACACATTCTGAGTAACTTCTAAGAGATACCCCCAAGTCTCTTAGTTTTCTCAGTTGATCTTTTGTGAGTAAAGTGCCTCAGAAAATTTGAGTTTATACTGAACAACTCTGAAGGAAACTGCTTTAAACTGGCAGAGACTGAGTAGTCTTTAGCTGGCAAATCAACTTCTCTGTCACCTGTGCTGTGGACTGAATGTTTCTTCTACCCCAGGTCAGTTCAGTTCAGTCGCTCAGTTGCATCTGAGTCATTGCGACCCCATGGACGGCAGCACGCCAGGCCTCCCTGTCCATCACCAACTCCCAGAGCTTGCTCAAACTCGTGTCCATCGAGTCAGTGATGCCATCCAACCA